GTGACACACATTGGTGCTCTTTGGTTTTGCCCAGCCAAGAGTGAGCCCATTTGAAACACCTGACAAGCTGTATTTTGACCAGCTGTTATAAAATGTAGTGGATTTCAGCTCCAGGTTTCCTCTCTCGTGGAGTTTTGTCTCCTGAAAGTGGTGAGTTGCAGCCTGCCATGCTTCATCCCTGTTCTAGTGCTTTCATCTTCTTTGCTGATACTGGTCCTTATTTCCATGCCTTTATTGTACTAAATTGTATGCCTATATATTTTCTTCCCTGCCTTCTGTTACAGATGGCTCACTGTAGTGTCCTTCACTTCTCTTGGTTCCTTGTTGTGTCTCGACTTGTGCAAGATGAATGCAAAGTGCCAGCAGAGGGGACATTGCTCTTTTCCAGTGTGGATCCAAACATCAAAGTGATCTTTCCTCCTGGAGTCACCAAAGAGCCTCGCAGTGTCAAGATGCAGGTATGCATGCTTTAAAAAACAACCTTTGGTAAGCTGTGGTGCAGCTGTTGTCCCATGGCAAGTACAGGAACTGAACTCGAGATGTCTGCCCTAGGGTAATTCCTGTCTGACATGGGTGCTTCATGGGCTGACCGATCTCAGATTGCCTTCTTTCTTAACTTCCCTGCCTGCAAAATGGGCCAAACCACGACAGCCATGCTGCAAGCTGCCATGTGGGGTCTCCAGCAGACCAGCAGGTAGCTGCTATAAAGGGAACACAAGGAGATTTTCTCTCTTTTTCCCTTGCAAAACTGCGATTGGCAAATCAGCTCTGTGAGACTTGGGGGGGCGGGGGAATCTAATGCGGATCTAATTCTAAAGCCACTCCACTAAAATTAGTTGTTCTGTATAGTTGTCGATAGTGCTAAATGCTATTGTAATATCTTGGTCTGTCCCAGCTTGCAGGTTGCTAGACTTCAGCCAGAGTTCAGTGTACTCTTGTTTCTCACTGGGTCCTGAGCCAAGAGCAGCATTTGCCTGCTGGGTGCTGCGGGAGATGAGTGAGCAATGTGGGAATTTGGTATCTGACTGCTCTGCTTACTGTGCTGTCTGCCATGTCCAGGTGCTGCAGGTCCCTGCAAAAGAGATGGACGAAATCACAGCCAGTGCAGGGTGCAGAGCCAGTCCCCTGCTCTGCCTCTCCCAGGACTCCCTGGTGGATTTTCTCAATCCAGTGACAATTCAGCTGCCCCTCCCACACGGAGTCACAGGTTAGTTTATTCCTAAAACTGGCAAAGAGAAATGCCATGTGTGGAAAACCACAAATGGCAAGCGGAGAATTTTGTTTGCCTTCCCTGTTGATAATAAAGCTTGCTGCTTTTCCTGCAGGAACAGCAAAATCTATCTGCTGAGTGAGTGGTGCTACAGGGTGGTGGGAGCTGAAGGTAGTTCAGATCCATCAGATCAGTGCTGGGCTTCACAGACCAGACGAGTTGGGAGAATGGCCTTGGCAAATGGATTTCTCTGTCAAAATGCATGTGTATTTAAACTGTTGGTTTCAGTGTAGTGGATTGGAGAGTCACTCCTGCCAACCAAGGAGATGCTTTATAAAAGGGCTTTGATTCATGACTGGGAATAGCTTGAAACAGGGAATGAAGATGCTGCCTCCAGGGATCTGCCCTCTCTTTTCCTTGCTCATGACTCAGGTGCTGAGCCACTGCAGTTAAAACTGTATGATGAAACGCTAAGCCATATCCCACTCTCAACACTGCTAAAAAAGTAGAAAAGCCTCAATTGTGCCAGGGATTCTTCTGTTTGCTGAGTACCCTGTGTCTCCTAATTCCTATTTTCTTTGATCTTTCCTGGCTTTCTTGTGAAGAAGTAAATTTTTTTTGGGTGTGATACGGTATTTGTTATAACACTGCTTGGTATTTGTATGTCTGAAGTGCATCAAGATTGGAAAGTCTGTGGGATGTACATTAGAAAGAGATAGAACTTAGATTTTGGTGTTGAGAATTGTCAAATGAATCTGTTGGTGGAAACCAGCACACTATGGTTCTGAGTCTGCATATTTTGCCAGAACATCCTTGAAGCATTGGGATAGCATAGTCCTTTTATCGCTGCTCTTTGAGCAAAGTTAAGTCCTGGATGTTGAAGGCCATGAGCCTTAATTTGGTGTTTTTAAAAAGTAAATCACCCAGATCTGTGTCTGGATTTGTGAAGCAATGAATAAAGGCTTCTACTACCTATAGCATCTCTTGGTCGCTGTTGTCTTTAGGACTAAATTTGGATCAGTTAAGGCTGCGTCTTCTCCATGGTGACCCGGAGGGCCAAACCTGGGATGACATTACCAGTAAGGTGGTGCTGAAATTCACTCATATTTATGTGATGTTTGAAGTCACTCACTTCTCCTGGTAAGTGCAGGATTAGTCCTGAGGAAAAGATGAGATGTTTATCTGCCTTGCTTTTCTCACACTCTGACCAAAAGTCATGCCATTAACCCTATCTCTTCCCTTTTCCCTTTGCAAGTCAGGCCCAGTTTAGCACTTTGTCTCTACCTATCATTTTTTTAAAATCTTGTGGGTATGACACTGGTGTTTGTACCTAGACAGGATCCCTCCTGTTTCCTAATTCCTTGTGTGCCAGGTACTGGCTGTGGTACACCACTAAGACCTACATTGAAGGCATTGCCAAGAAGGTCTATGAGCGGCTGCGTCTGTACCAGGTGAACTTCATTGCACTGCAGAGGAAGAAGGACCCCGAGCAAGTCCTGCTACAGTGTGTCCCCAAGCACAAGGTCTGATCTGGGTTCCATTGCTTTGCTCCCGAGCTTCCTGGGCCTTCATTTATAGGATATAGGGGCAGCAGTGCACCAAACGGTCCTGTTTACTGCCCCCGAGTCATGGCTGGGGTGTGCTGTCACCACACAGTTGGTGGTGTGATACTGACTCACAGGGAGCTGTGGGAAGAAGGAAACCTCATTCTATGTGGTGGCACATGCCGTGCATTGATTTCCTACCCTGAGGACTGGGCTGCTCAAATCAGCTGAGCCACAGTTACTGGTCATGTGTATGCTGTTAGCATCCAGCAGACTTGTGGCAAAACACGTTGGCTTAAACTTAAGTCAAAGTTAAGGCTTACACGTCACTTGTCTGACATGGGCTAGTGGTGTGGGCAGCAGCACTGCTTTGATTTCCTTTGGAGTGGTTAGAAATGGTACTCTTCCCAATGTTCCTTGCTGTTTACAGTTCAAGCAGTGGACAGAACATATGACCTCTCCTTAACCTGCTTCAGTGCAACATCAGGTTAGTTTATGCTATGAGTTTGAGCTAATCAGGCTGACTTTGTAGGGAAGGAGATGGGAAGCACTGATGCATTTTTTTCTGCTGCCTCTGCTCTAGGGGTATCAGCCCTGAGCAGTGTTGCTTCAGATGTTAGCAAAGAGAGTGTGCATCTATGTTTGTGGAGCGTGTACCTTGGCAGGCACTGCCGCTCAGTGAGGTGAAGATGTTACCAGATGCCAGTACTGGGCTGTGTGTCCAGCTCTGCATAATCCTCTGGTCTAGTTGCTTCTTCTCTTAATTTGTTTTGTACTGAAATGACCCGTGTACACAAGCATCTGCAAGGATTCTTTATATCTTGGGTTCTGGGCTAAAATTATCTCCGGAGGAGGCAGCAGTTTATTTGAGAAGAGGCACAAAAGGCACAAAACTCAGAGCACCACTTCTTTGTCTTTAGTGAATGTACTGGGGATAGCAGGGGGAGGGTGTTTGTTTGTTTGTTTACATCTTTCTCATGTGAAATGGTCTTCCCCTGTTGAAGGTAAGTGAGAGGAACATCAAGAGTGTAGGCAAGGGGACAGACATGCTTCAGACCAAACACGGTGTCCTGTGTTGTCATCCTTGTCAGGTTGACACAGTGCTGCAGAGGCTGCAGAACCGCTATCAAGGACCTGAGCCATCCGACATGGTGGAGATGTTTGAGGGAGAGCAATTTTTTGCAGCTTTTGAGCGAGGCATCAGCATCGATATGGGTATGGCAGTACTGGGCTCATTCTGCTGCTCCCTACTTCTTGTGCTTCTCTGGCCCCAGGCATGTTTCTGCTGGGGGCTGTACTCATCCATGGCATTCCTCTCTGTCTCCAGCTTGACCACTACTCACAGCAGCCAACCCATGATTTTGTCGCATTTTTTGGTCACCCATCTTTTGTGTCACTTTTCCCTATGAAAAGTGTTTGCAGACTTCCATTTCCTCTCATGCTCTTGTAAACCTGCAGAGGGCAATAGCTAAATGTGTTTATTTTATGACTGATCTGCTTCTGCAGCCAGCTAGGCCCTTTTCCTGGCATTTTAGACACTACACTGGGATGCCCATGGTGATCTAATTAATGTTGCCCGTTTCTGAGAGAACACATATAAAGTTGGGGGTTTTTTTTGAGAAGATATTTCTGGAATAATCCAGAACACATAATTCCTCCTGCTGGAGCCACTAGAAGAGAAGGAAAGTACATTAGTCTTTCAGTGGAGTTCATGAGTCTGTCCCTCTGCCTTGATTTAGGCCAAACTCTTTATTTCCAGCTAATTACATATATGAATGTATGTACCTGATTATATTTTTTTTCCTTTAGCTCTGCTCTGCACCCCTGTATAAATGGCGATGAGATGGGTAACCTCTTTGTGTGCATTAAAAGGTGCTATTGCAGCTGATTCTGGCCTCCAAGAGATAGTATGGACTGAGATGGGAAGGAAGCACCAAGGATAGACTTGACTCCATGTGTCATCCTGCCTTGCCTTCCATTCTTGAACTATACCTCGTGTCCATTCTCCTTTTTCACTTGTAGGACCTGCTTTCTCCACAGTCAGTGTTTTCTGCTTTCCTATGTCACTCAGTGAGGAAGGGAAGGTTGCAATTCTTTCAGCAGTGAACACGAGGAGTAGTTAGTAGCATGGAGGCTGCTAGTGGATGATGGGCTGTTGGCCAGGCTGGAAAAGCTGCACACTTTTCTCCACAAGTTGACTGTTTGCTGCTTCTCTGCACAGATCGCCCTGACTATGTGGACGGACGTCTGTCATTTATTTTTTACTCCCACTTGAAGAACATGAAGGAAGTATATGTGACCTCCCCTGTGGACAGGAAAGGCCAAGCTGTAAAAGGCCAGGTGAGCAATGAGTTACACTGACTTCTTGTTTCCTCCATCATCATCATTGCTTTTACAATCCTCCTCATAGTAATCTGAGTGCTGTGCATGACTCTTTTCCTCCCCTCTTTCTTTGGTTTTGAATTTCACTGACTAAACGCTGAATAATCAAGAAGTGTAGTCTAGAAGGATCACTCATCACTTAGGACTTACATTCCTGATGTAACTTGGGGTGTTGGCAGTAAGTCCAGCCTTTATGGCAGAACCTCAGTGCTCCTCCCAGTTGCACGTAATTGAGAGGCCATATTTGTGGGCTGAGGATAGGTGAGAATGTTGAATTCTGACAGACAAGGCATGGTGCCAACAGGCTTGGCCACTGTGCTTGAATCGGGGCCTCACTGAATGCTTTCTGTTTACAAAGGTCTCCTTCTACCGAGGAGCAGTTCCACAGAACATCCCTGAAGATGCCAGCAGGAGGAGGAAAGGAGCAGACTCCCTCTGGCTTGCTACTCTGCCCATCAAACTACCTGTAAGTTGTCTCCTACAGAAAAATCAGTCTAGGTGGGATAAGAGCAGTGCCTTCTTGCTCAGCTAATTTTGGTTTCCTCTGTGAGAAGGGATGCAATGAATGACCGATAGCTGCCCAATTAGGTTGTGGTGGTGATCTCTCACTCCCTGTGAGTGAGCTCTTCTGAAACGAGAATCATGAATAGGTGGGAGTGGTCTCCATCTCTCCTGTCGTCTTGCCTGTCAAGCACAGGCTTGTTGGTTGGGTGGTCAGAGAGGGCGGATCCCTTGAATGAATGAGGGATGTAGTAGACAAGGAAGCTCACTGTGATTAAGGGAAGTGTCTGTTTTGTTTATAAATTTCTTAGTCACACAGCTCATGCAGCAGGAAAAAAGAAAGGATTAGGATGAGGTAATTATGCTGGATTTGAACACCCACAGCAAGTATAAGTATTCTGGTGTGAGCTTTAAAGTCTAGGCTGTGTGTTATAGTGAGAAAGACAACTTTTGCTCATGGAATTTAATGTATTTTTGAGAAGCTTAAAGCAATAAATACTTTGGTAGGCTGGATGCTTCCCTTCAGATCACGTGCCATGATCTCATATCCGTTTCTGTCTCATGCAACCTCAACTACAAATCTAGACTAAGTGCTCTCTTACTGCTGAGGCAAATACACTTTGGAGACATAGCTCACTTTAAACTGCTCTGTAAAGGCAGGAAAGGAAATTTCCAGTGTGAGCTATGTGAAAACTATGAAGTGATATTTTTCTGAGGCAGTGAGCATAGCTGGTCATTGCCAGTGTGAGTGCTCCTTACTTCTTACAGCCTCACTCTTCAGCCCCGAGAATTTCCTTTCCCCCCAGGAGGAGGAAGGAAATTGCAGTGTGGAGACCAAGTGACCAGACACTATGAAAACAATTTGTAGAGGAAAGAATGTTCTTTCTCTTCTCTGTGACACAGCAATTGAAGTCCCGCTGCAATGAGAATCCTGGTCCCCTGTGTGGCTTCTCCTTCCCTCCCTTGAACCTGGGCAATGCTGAGACCGGCTACTTGACACAGGCAAACCTGCTGAGCATTGCCAGGCGTGTGGGATCTGACTGGCAGACCATTGGCCTCAACCTGGGCTTGACCTTTCAGCAGATTGAGCGCATAGGACACAATAATAGGTAAGGTAGGACACAGTGATCAGCAGTAATGCATTCTATCTATCTGTCTATCTATGTATCTATCTATGTATCTATCTGTCTGCAGTGTAATAATATAAATTAATGTTTGGCTGGTTGAAACACTATAATTGTTTCACTGAATGAAAGATGGGTTGACTAATGGTTCTTCTCAATATAATGCCTTATATAATGGAAAACTGATTATTTTCTCTTGCCATTATAAAACAAAGCTTTTTGTTTGAAAAACAAAATTGGGAAACAACAAACCTGATGAGCTCTGTAGTTCAGCTGAGTTGCATTCCTGTTTTGTTCTGTGATCTGGATTCCTGGCCAGACTCCATCTCATACAATGAGCAATGGTCTATGGCTTTAATTGTGAATATCGTCTGTATGCAAAAAGAGCTTGTGGTACCTCATGGGGCATGCAGTCTGACCAAAAAGCCTGAGCAGTAGGAGAGAACAAAATTTGTTATGAGCAAACTACTCTTCCTGTGGGGAAATTACATTCAAAAGCAGAATGCCTTAATTTGTTATTTCCATTAGGAAAATATTTTATAGAGAAATGCTAGTGCAGGAGCTGCAACTCCTGTAAGATAGGTGAGGAAGAGGCAGGCCCACTGAGTGTTTTGTGTATCTGGATGGCTTCTCTGGGGCTCTAGCGATGAACTGGGACTTAGGTCAGGTCTCTCTGGGTTGCCAGTCAGGAGAGTGTGTTGGTTACTTCTGTGCTTCCTCCTTTCTTCAGAGACGACCTTGATAAGCAGATCTTGGGCATGCTTTTCTCATGGGCTCAGCAAAACTCGGAGGATCCTGACTGTGTGAGCAAGCTGATTGCAGCCATGAAAGAGAGTGGCCGCCAGGACATCGCTGATGAGGTTGAAACCATCATTGATCTGGGACGACAGAAATACAGCGAGTCCATCCGCCGCGTGGGCTTGGAGCCGGAGAGCAGCAGGGAGGACTCAGCAATAGCTACGATGTAGCACCTAGCAGGAAAAAATGAGTTTCGCATGGGGTCCCTCTGCAAACTCGGAGTGACAGTGTCTCGGGGATGCTGCCACCTCAACGGCCGGTGTCTTCCTGAGGAGCTGGGCATTGATTTACTTGTGAGCAGACTGATGAGCTCTCTTGGGTCTGTACTCACACGCCACTTCTGCCAATCCCAGGAAGTTTCAAGTGCATTTATGAGCGTTTTCTCTGCTTCCACTGCTTGACCTTGAGCTTTAGCTTTCAGAAACGTGGAGAAATTTAGAGACTAAAGTGTCTGTCAGTTGAGTACTGGCTAGTGTATAGTATTTAATTAATTAATAGTCACATTACATGTATTTATTTGTAACTTATACTTGTAACTGTGGTCTGCTGGAAACACTGGATGTGAGCATTTGGGTCCGTTTGTGCTCTGGTGCTTGTTGGGAGAGTGGAGGTGCAGTCATGAAGGCTGATAATGGTGTGTTTTGCTCACATGAAAATATGAACTGTATTCTCCATGAAAATGTTTCCTGTTTTCTGTCAAATCTCTTCTAGTTCCCTTAAGTCCAAAACAAAACCTAAGTATTCTTGTGGAAGAGGGAAAAAACAATTTGATAAAAAATTTTAGGAAAATTGCCCTCGTTTTTTAGTATTGCTCCAAAAACTATTTTGAAACAAATAGGCTGCTGCCTGCTGCCAGGCTTTTTAGATGAGACCTACATGGTGCTGACCTTTGACAAAATTCCAGTTTCATTTTACCAAAAAAAGGTAAAAATCCATAACCTGTTCTGGGAGAGAGTCTAATTTAAGTGGAAGTAAAATTTCCCTTGCAGTTTCAAAGGGATGGTCCTCACATCCTCCCGGTGAAATACGACTGTGTAGTAGTGAAGATGTGACCCCTCCTGAAGTTTGGTGAAAAGCATTAATTAAATTTGCATTTTAAAGACTGGTCTGACCAGCTTCGAAATAGGCACTGTTGTGGGATTGGCATGAATTTTGCTGAGCTAACTTCCCAGTTTTTCAGTCTGAGTATCTTGTATAAGGCTGGAAGCATTTACTGCTTTTTAACTGCTCAGTTGTTGACTACTGAGGTGCCCTTCTCTTCCTGTTCCCTGTCTCATGATGGCCCTCGGCTGTAACGACAACCCAGTAATGACAGTGGAAAATTTCATGCAAGCTTTTTGAAAGACAACTGTCATCTAAGTAAATTCAACTCTTTCAAGACAGATTTGAATTCAGCATAACTCTCTAAGCATTACTTAAAGGGCTGTTTGCAGTCTGAAAAAAGAAGTGTGTATAAAAATGCTAGGTAGCAAGACCCAAAGTCAACCTGCAGTTGCAGGTTGGAGAAATCCTGGTGTTTTCTTCCCCTTGTGAAGAATCATCAGTGGCTTCCCTGATGCTATTTCAGACCTACCATCAGTACTATTGAAAGAGAGGCATAAAATCATTCTGCTTTTTTTTTTGTTTAAGGCCATTCTAACATCTCAGTCCACAGAGTGCTTAGTGTCCAGTCCAGAGCACTGGACAATGACTTACAGACTTGAGTTGCCACCTTGGGCCTAGGGACTTCCTCAGATCTGATTTTTTAGGTGCTGCCCTCAAGTCTTATTTTGGGTTCAAGTCATCAGTTCTCTTTTGAATGTACATTTTCTCTTGTATTCTGTGTCATATGTTCTTGTCTTTAATTTTGATGTATACCAGCAAGGTATTTGTTCTTTCCTCCAGTTTTGGGGAGATGTATTTGGGCGTATTGCTCTGACTGGGAATAAAATAAGCACTTAACTGTTCCACATCACAGTCTGCTAATCCATAAATGCCTCAAGGAGGGAGAAGAGCCCCTGTTTGGATACTCCCAGCTGCAAAGTGCAGGACAGACTGCAGCTGAGTTAATGGTATCCCTGGAGCTTGGCTTTGCTGCAGCAGGCTAAGCTGGGAAACACAATGTTCAAGACATGAGCTGAGCCTGTCTGGGGCTCAGGTGGAGCAAGTCTAGAGAGCAACAAGGCTAGTCTAGAGGGGACAGGGCAGAGGGTGAGCCTGGCCTGTGGCAAAGGTGCAGGAGGCTTTTGTCTAGGCAAAACTAGGCCAAGGAAGTCTGCAAGTGGCATAAGGTAGCATCCACAGCTACAACAGGATGAAGCTAGGCTACACTCAGCCTTCCATTTGTGGTGGCCAGGCCACAGCTGAGTTAGGCAATGCTGGAATAAGGGACAGGGTAGGCTGGACTCCATGAAGGGCTCATCCAGGCATCAACAGAGCTACAGCTCTTCCAGGTAACAGGCAGAGTGGCGCCAGGAGAGAGGGAGATTACTGCCAGGTGTTTAGGTTGCACTCGGTACGGGATGCAACCAGGCCAGGCAACAGGAGATATCAAACCCTAGACAGTGTCGTCAGTAGAATGGCTCTTCAGGATTTGAAAAGCTGATAACTTAAGGAAAGTTTTAAGGAACTACCCCAGACACTACTATCTCCAGTCTTTCATTGCCGAGTGGTGGCCGCTGGGCCGGGCCACCTTGCTGGCATCTTGTTTTCTCCTTGAAGTGACACCAAGCGCCCAGCTGAGGATCTGGAGGTGCTGGCAGGAAATCAGAGCAATTGCCCAAGTGCTCTTTCCTTTAGCTGACCTGGAAGCAAATATTTGAGCTGGATGAGAATCAATGGAAAGCATGTTATTTTGAGGTGTGTTATCTTTGTCAGTAATCTCTTTGAGGCACAGTAACTCCTTCATAAGCCTGTAGCTGCTGTGACCAGGAAATGCTGATAACAGTTGCAATAGATGGTTGAAGCAGCAAAAAAACCCTCAAAACTAACCTGGCACTTATCTTTTAAATCAAAAGATAGTGTTCCTTTCTGGCTTTTATGAATTCATCACACACTGGAGTAGTCTTTTGTAAGTAGGCTTTTCCTGGTGCCTATTATGCACCTTACAGTGTCCTACAGATGATCTGGCAGATTTTATGGTTTTTACTGGGCATGATCCTGATGCAACCAAAATTCTTGCGAATAAATTTCTGCCAGGAAAAGCCTACTTACAAAAAAATTAAAAAATAAAGCGAGAAATTGCTTGGGGAGAGGAACATCTAAGATAGGTTTGTTTGGCTGTAACTTCTATAGCTCTTTAACTGTCACAATTAAACCCTTTTCTACTTCATAAACTTTCAGATCTCCAGCAGAATGACCAAGTGGCCCTGGGAGGTGAACAGTGTGTTTCCCACGTACCATCCTCCACTTCCAGGTTCTGCTATTTAATACACACTCGTTTCCATACTTGACAGTGTCATACTGCTGTTGCTTTGCAAAAAGGAAAGGAAATCTGATGGTCCTTAAATTCACTATTTTCCTCCCAGAGGAGGATCACTGCATGTCTTCAGCCTTTAAAGCAAGAGTAGCTTTCACTGAGGAAGCAATGGGGCTGATTTTCAGACACTGGTGCATCAGAGTCCCAGCCCAGGGCTGCCTCAAAGTGAGCCCACTATGGTTATCAGCTGGTATTGTTAAAATTAAGAAAACAGTTTTCGCTGCAGCTAAGTGTGTGTCCATTTCCTGAACCCCACAGAAATAAACTGTATGTTCTCAAAGTACTGTTTTTCTGTAAATCTGTGTCTTGAAAATCCACAAGGAGAATTTGATGCTTGTTCCAGTTTCCAGCTACACTGAAGGAACTTGGTGACTAGAAAACATAGAATCTAGGTAGGCACCGTGGCCATGGAAAATTTAGCTTCTACTCATCCTACCTCGCTGTAGGTCTGTAGGTTGAATCCATGCAGAAGTTTGCTTTGAGAGGCTGAGGCTAAGATCTTTCTCTTTGTTTTGCTTATTGAACACCAGTACAGCCCTTGTCTTTTCCAGACAGGAGATAGTGGAACTGGAAAATGTGAAAGGGGCAGGAAGGATGCTTAGAGACCAGTACTACTGAGTATTTTTTATTTTTTCTACAGCAAAACTATTTCACCTCATGGGAACTGACAAAGACTGAAAAGATGATTGCCACCCACTTTTTCTCAACTAGGTGGCACCAAATGAAATAATCCAATATCACCTGCAAATAAGCAAAAGTGGGTACTTGTTTCCCCACTGTGCACAGTTCAAATGCTAACTCTTTGCTGTGAGATGTTTGAGGCCAAAACACAAATGTTGTGTTCAGGAACTGATTGATTAAATTGGTGGGAAAAAGATCCTCTAGAAAGCAAATGAATATGGAAAGCTGAATTCATTCCCACATGGAATGAACAAGAGATCTGGGGATGCTTTCCTCAGGCAAGAGTTGAATAAGACAGCAGCAACAGAGCATGTGGAGAAATGAGGAAAGGCAGGGGAGGCGGATCAGACATATCTACTTGCTCTCCCTAGAAAACCCAGATGGCTGCACTTGTTGCTTCTGCCAAAGCCCTGTGGATAAGAGAAGACCACACTTGCAAGGGTTGGAGAAGGTGGCTGTTGCTTGAACCTTTCCTCAGAACCATATGGCTGAGCTTCACTCCTGGACGGAGAATTTCAGCGGTGACCCCTAACAAACCAGGCAGCACTGCTCAAAGGGAGAGACAGGATTTCTATCTTGTACATGTTAAGCTTGAAAACATCTGTTCTGCCTTGCTTTCACTGCGTCTCAGCAGAGAGCTGCAGCTGTGGGACAGTTCCAAGGCAGCAGCAAGAGCTCAAAGCTTTGGGTATGAACAGGTTCACATCTGAGTAACCCCAGATGTGTCCCAGCCACACTGTCTCTGCCAGGCTCCTGCCAGAGCAGGTCTGGCCAGACCTGGTCTTCTGGAGGTGTTCAGCATCACCAGGTTTAGAAACAGCAAATCTAAGGAGAGAGTGGGGCCTATGCAGGCAGTGGCTGCAGCCGCTGTGGAGACACCCATCTCTCCCCACTGTGTGAAGAAGGGACCTGGCTAATGGGCCTGAGTGGTTAGGCTTCTAATTATGATTTGTTGAGATGATGGACAGAAGCTTTAGATTACAGTGAGAAGTGGGAAAGCTGGATGAGGCAGGTAGTAACAGGTTAGCTAGGTGAGGACATA